CCCCCCCCCCATCATTGGACTCTGTCGTCTGCCCCTTTGGCCCCTATCCTCCACTCCTACCAGCTAGACGACCCAACCGGGGCCACATAGGAGGGGGGGTTGGACCCCTTTCCTGCCTGAGATATGTTTATCGCGAGAAGGGTACGGCAATCCCTTCCCTCGCGACTTATGAAGTCGATCAAGTTCACTAACAACGAGCTTTGCAGCGCGTCGCTTCCAACGGAGACCAGGGTTTAATTAGCGAGAAGAAACTCAATTCTCTCGGGACTCGAATCCATGACCTGGCCCATTAAGCTTAGCAGGCTGCGAGGCTACCCACTAGACCACCGGGGCGACCGGTTTGTATGTTCGCGGAGGAATTGGCACGCCGCCCAGAGCCCGCGCGTGAAACATATCGCGAATATCTCGCTAACGCCTCCTATCACGCAAGAGTTATCCACAAGGCTCGAACGATGGTTGCTGCATCGCATTGGGAGAGCAACAGCAAGTCTTTCGCTCTTTCGCTCCCCTGGTTTTGCCAAAGTTTTGCTCTCCTCCCGCTTATTCCGAGCTCTCCTGAACGTTTGTCGTACAGACAGCATGTTCCGCGCCTATTATATAGGATGTGCTTCCCTGTTTTTTGCGTCGAATGAAATGGTGCCCTCTCTTCCGGTGCCATCTCGATCCACAGGCCAACGCTCGCGACTCCCAGTATGACGCGACTCTTCTGCACTGGGCCGTGAACGAGGGGCACATGCCGACGGTCGAACACCTGCTGGCTTGCGGAGCGGACGTGCGATTGAGAGACGGAAAACAGTAAGTTCCCGGCATGCGTCTTCGTGAAACCCAACAGCTGCGGACGGGTCCGGAACTTTAGGTCTGCACGGGAGAAGTTCAGCTTGGCGGGGGGTTGCGTAGGAGCGTGGGGATGCTAGCGTAGGATTGGTCAATGGTAGGCAAGAGCAAAAAGCGGTAAACGATGCTGACTTACCACACGAAGGCCTCCAATTGGTGGTGAGACTGCTGCGGCAGTTTTGTCGTGAAGAAGACACGAGCTTGCTGTGCTGTCGCGGCGTCATTATACTGGTGCACCGTGGTAGCGATGGTTCCTTTTTTTTTTTATTGTCCCTGCGAAGGCTGACTGCCTCTCTATTGGTCTGCCCGATTGGCGCGGTCGATGCCGCTCGCTTGGAGCACCCCAACACAGCAGTAGAGAACACACGCTGGCGTTGCGCGCCTCCATTCCCTTCCCGGCACAACTTTCCCGTGTCCCCGCGCCTCCTGACACGCTGTTTTTTGCTGTTGTGTGTGTGTGCAGCTCCGCCACCCCGCTCCACTGGGCTGCTGCTAAAGGTCACGTGTTCGTGGTTCGGCTGCTGATGATGCAGGAGTCTGACGTCAACAGCAGGGACGCTTCGTGAGTTTCCGTTTTTTTTTTAAGGGTGCAGTTTTGCGCTCGTGGGTTGGCTCGTTGCGAAGGTGGGAGTTGCGTGATGGGCGCGTTGCACAGCGATGTACGAGAGAGCGCACTGATGGGAAACAAGCGCTGTGTCCTGGCCGGTAGTAGTTGTGGTGGTCGGCGGTGGCGGTTGTGTTATCGAGGGATTGCGTGCGTAGGCCGCGCTCACTCCTCCTCTCCTCTCTTCCGCTTTGTCGAACGAACAGCAACCGCACCCCGTTGCACTGGGCCGCCGGAAACGGCCAGCTGGGGGTCCTTCGAGAGCTCATGTTCTGGGGCGCGCGCGTGGAGTGCACGGACGCTTGGAGGAAGGTGCCCTTGCACTGGGCGGCGTTCCGGGGACATGTGGCCAGCGTGGAGGAGCTGGTGGGGAAGGGGTCGCCCGTGGACCAGCCGGACGCGGACGGGAATATCCCGGGAAGCACGTTCCACCACAGCGTTCCGGAGGTGAAGCGGGGAAGGGGGGGGCGTGTACTCATAGTCGTGCATGCCGTAGTCGTAAGACCATTGACCTCGCATCCCTACAAAGCCGGGACGGAGCACGCCGGGTTCTCACCGGGCCAGGCTCTCACATCACCAAGCGCGAAGCGCCGTGAGGTATTGGGCGAGNGGAGCGAGGGTTCTCCACCCCGCACAACATGATCTACTCGACCGCCATTATGGTTACCGCCAAAATAAACAGAGATAAAAAAATGAAAAACCGGCAACCTGGTTGCCGAGTTCACGAAGTGAATTGGCTTGTTTTACAACGTCGTTGCCAAGCGACGAAAACCCAACCCCCATGGCAAACACCGAGAGGGGGGAGAGAGGTATTGCACCAGTTTGGGTTTTGTCATGATCTGTGTGCACTTGGGGAGACTGGCGGGAGCAATGGCGCTACAGGTGCGGGTGATTTTTGTGGCTGTGTGAGGAGGGATACACTAAATAGGCAAGATCTACAGAGGCACAGAGGACACCACCTTTGTTGAGGCGAATTTCCTGGCTGTGCAAAGAAGAATACGCTACGCAAGAGCTACAGGCACAAAAGAACGCATTTGTTGAGGCGAGTTTTCTGGCTGCGTGAGGGAGGATGCAACTACCCAAGAAGATAAACCGGACTACTATTACATCACTGCTGTGCGCGTGCTCCCTTCGTGATCGACTGAAGCCGTTGTCGTGCTCTCTGCGGACTGCTGTTTTGCTTGGCGGCGGGGACCCTGGACAATCTCAGGAGGCAATAAGGGACATCCGGTCGGCGTTGCAGCGAGGCCCGGCGTCGGGGGACGGCGTGGTGAGGGCGGCGACTGTTTCTTCGGAGCTGCTGCTGGAAACCCTTCGGGCGTGTCGGTCTTGGGGGGAACTTTTCGAGGTAAGACCTCCCGTCAAAACATGGTGTGATATCGCTGTTGGGGCAAGCCTTGAATTGAGAATCAGAAGCACATGCTCTAGGCTTGTTCCGTTGGAATGCGCGTGTGTCTACGCAGCTCTCTCAGCTTTGGATGTGTCTCTGTTGCCCTCGAGGGACCCACAGAGCAGGCGAAGATTAATTTTCTGTTTGCTCCTTCCCCCTTTCCTCCCCTCGTCCCTTACGCCTCCACGTGATACTCGCGGGCATTTTTTTTATTTCTCCTCCTCTCTTCTCTGTTGCGCTCTCCTCACCTCTCTCTCTCGCTCTCTTTTCCCTCTCCACCTCTCGTCCTCTTTCGCTGTTTTTCTCACAAATGAAACAAGAACCGCCATTTTGACGTCCTGTCGAAAGAGTGCCAGGAGCACCGGGAACGGTTGAGGGGTGTCATTCAAGGCCTCGCGGACCAGGTGCGTGCGATTGTCTGCTCCATTTGCTATTACGTGGAGAAGGCCGTAGCTGCCGCGCTTTGCACGCGTGGGCGTGGATAGCGGCACCGTTTGTGTAGTCCTAGTGGTAGGGATGTGTGTGCTTTCTTTTCATCGAATCGGCACTCGAGGGCCGCCTGACCCGTCGCCGTAACATTGTGGGGGAGCGTATCCCCCCCCCCCCCCC